CTCCCTCCCTCCCCCCCTCCCTCCACCTGGCTCCGGGCCCGTCGGAATCGGTCGTTGCGATTGGCCAAAGCGGCCACCGCATTGCTGATCTCCACCACACTCGGGATCCACCGACCGCGCCGACTGCTTTGCCGATGAAAGGCCCGGTCTTCCCGCGTGCTCGTGCTTCCTGTCGGCTTTGTACTCGTCCGGGAGAGCCCGGCGGTTACGAGAGCAGCTGTCGCGACGGTGGTGAAACGGTGCTGTTTGCTTCGTGGCAAGCTTTCAGGGGAGGGAACGAAGGGAGGGGAAGCCAACGAGGTGTCTGTAGGAGATCCTGGCGGTGAAGACCATGCCTGCACAGCGGTAGGGCTATTCGATGTGTGCTTATCCGCAGGATGTGAAGAGGGAGAGGGTGATGGAAAAGGGAGGACGGAGATCGTGCTGGCACCGTGAACCGTGGAACCGCTACTTTCCTCATCGTCGTTGTCGAAATACCGACCGTGGATACCATGGAATGTCGAGGATTGCAAAGAGTTCGCCTCCGGCGCCGTATAAAGTTGCCCCGCACCGATGATGACGCTGCGGTGCGTTACACGATGACAGCCTGTCCCTCCGTCTCCCTCTGGCAGTGTGCAATTTGTTCGCCTATCCTCACCCTTTAACCTCTTCGCATCAAATGAGGTTGAGGAAGAGAGTACCTTGGAAGAGAAAATATGTAGCTGATGAGGAGTATCCGGGTCTGACATGCCCGCACCTATATGCCTGGTGTGATGGAAAGGAATACGTCGAAAAGGAAGAACTGGGCACATGAGAAGCCACAAATCAGCATCCAATCGGACAATTTGGCATTTTCAGTCCTGAATTAAATTTTAGACTTTGATATAAACGTCATGTGATATCGTGGACGCTGAAAGACTTGATGTCATTGGAAAATCGTGTGAAATCATCCGTGCACAGTGAGCTGACAAGTCAGCAGTTTTTTATATCCATGCTTCCTCCGGGACAATATTGTGCACAGCACAGACTTTTGATGTACCGGAAATGAATGATCAGCGTGTTTCTATAAGTACTGCGAAAGTGTTTGTGTCAGACCACGGCCTTTGTCCCCACGACGTCGAAGCGTGCGGCAGCTTCCCATGTCGGTTGAAAGCAATTTGAATTTCGAAAAACCGTTGAGAAATTCAGTCGCGAAAGCATCGACAGGGAGGAGACTAGACAACAGACTTTGCTGGGAAACTCGAAGGTTTCTATTGACTAATATTTGGTATCCTTTGGGCAAACTATCACTTTGAAGTTAAGAATAAGAAAATATGTGCTCCTCTCCGTGTTGCCATAAAAGGCTCTTTGCCGCAGTTTTATAATGAATACACAGTCGTCTAACAATCGATATTTCTCACAATTCTGAGTTCTACAAAGCATATGAAGGTCATCATGAATCCTTTTCCTCTTTTTTGACATGCTTACCACCTCCTTGTGCTTCCATACTTGTTCTAGCACAGCTGTTCTTCTCCTCGCTAATACTTACTTTCTGTCTTTTCGTACGCTTGCTCATAGCCTTTGTTTTTACGTCCCGTAATACTTTGCCTTCTTCTTCTTCCAATTTTACTATTCTTTCCTCTGTTCGCAAGATTTCATCCTTGATGGTTTCCTCCGTCGTCTTCTCAATAATTACTGTGGCCCGTTCTTCCTCTCCTTTTTCCGCTTTTTCTTTCCTCTTCGCCTTTTGCGCTTCCCTTTTCAAGGCTTTCTCAATCCCTTCTTCTTTTTTAAATGCAAGCATTTCGTTTTGAAGAAAGAGGGGAAGACGTGCTCTGTAATCGGGCAATTCGGCTGCAAATAGAAGGGAATGTGCCCTGTGAAGCGCAATCAGAGGAAGGCAGTAGAAAAGGAGTGCAACGCAAAGGTTGAAAATAGGATAAGAGTTGTTGTTAAATTTTCTCGTAGTCGAAGGGAAAGTGAGAGGTAGAAATTGCAAGATCAAGAAATTTTCGCGGTACATATGCGAGGAAAAGGAATCGATTTTGACCCGAACCGGAAACAACATAAGCAAAGGAGGAAAGGAACGACGGGAAAAAAGAGAAGAGATGTGTATTGGGGGTTAGGGTTGAGCTTAGGCTTAGTTAAGCACACGCACCAGCCCGCATGCGACCCGAATTTGTTCCGAAAAATGTCCCCGACGGCTTCGTAGACAGCGGGCGTCAAGCTTTTGTGTTCTTTGAGGACGGGAGAGTAGTCTCGACAGGCGATACGCCACACCTGGTATGCACAGAGAAGAAGGAAGGGAAGGAGGGAAAGAGGAAGAGGTGAAAAGATCAATGAGTTCCGGGCACGTGTCGAGCAGGGGCGTGTGAGTGACAGGTGGATGGAGTGGAAGGAGAATGGCAAAAGCCCCTCCTTCATTTCTCTCTTTGCCCTGTCATTGCCTTAACCGCCTCACTTGTTAAGTCGACCCCATGCGAACACCATGCACTACCAGGTCCCAATCATCCACTTGCCCTCCTTCCCTCCCTCAT